CCGACCGCCACGCGTTTCCCGGTTAGAGGAGCTCAAACACGTGCCTGGTTGGGTCAGAGTCGCTGGTTTTTTCCAGTCCTCGGCAGCCGCTGTTTTACCAGGGAGGGGGCCGTCCCAGCTGCTGGAGGAATCGGCGCCCTGGACGTCGGTGTCAGACGACACAGAGTCGTCCTCCATTGAGCCCCTGCCGAAAGGCCCCGGGCCCAGGTCCGTGAATGTGGCCCCGCCGTTGTTGAAGAGACTGGGGGGCGACGTGTCCGCCGCGGACTGCGATTGGCCGAAGGCGGCGGGAGTGTCGAACTCTGTGAAGCTGACGCTAGACGGCACCCCGGAGAAGCCTCCAAAGTCGCCGAACTCGTCGTCGTCATCCTCTGCTCCTTCATCCAGCGGAGGCGGGGAGGAGGAGTACATGCGCACCGCCTCTGGCTCCATGGTCCCGCGGCAGCGTGTCAAGGCTTTGCACTCACACCTGCGGAGGACAACAACGTTCACATTACACCTTATGATTAAAGCTCTCCTGTACATTTCAAACTCCTCATTGCTGGTCTCATCCTTAACAGAAGGGAAGCGCTGCTTCTTGTGAAGACCAGGTCAAGAAGAAAACAGCAAAGATTCAAATGCAATGATTTAAAAAAAAAAAGTATAAACAAAGTCAGTATAACTACACATAACTGAATATAAAATGTTATTTAAATAATCAGGATATTGCATGAAAGTCTTTTTCCTCCAATGCAGACATTCCATTTTAAACTTTACATTTCTATTTAAAATATATAACATTGAAATTGTTTTCAAATGAAAACTACCTCAACCTCCCAGTAAAACCTAGAACAGACACAAAATTTTAGGTTTACTGTAAGGAAATGTGTGCAATTATTTAAGACATGGAATATGGCAGATTAACATCTCCTTATTTTTTTTAAAGGATCATTACTACAGAAGAAAAATCTAACTTCAGTGCTAATCAGCCAGATTCTAAATGACATTTGAACTCATCTCATCTCAGTGTTTTATACCTATTTAGGAACAAAAGTATTCTGGGCAGCATCAGATTGGCTTCGGTTCACCATCACAGGGAAACGCATTCAGACTATTTTAAAAAGCAGCAGAAAGTAGCAGCCCCCGTACGTTTATGCTGATCCATGGCAAATGTGTCAGGAAGTCTATTCGTTTTCCACCCCTGCCAGGGAAGGGTAATGAACTAAGGAAAGTGAGTGAGCCAACTACACGTGGACAACGACAGGCCTTGTGGGTAAGTAAACAGAACAAACGGCTTCTCTGACTGACCTTGGCCCAGTAAAGAGTCTCAGGGGACAAGCCCAGAGACACTAGCAATGTGTGTACAGTATTGCCAGAACCGTGCAACATCTGGAATTTCCCCAAGCTGACGAGGTGATCGGCCGTTTCTGCAGAGGGCTAGCCATGCTAGGTGGCCCGCTCAACGTCGTCAGCGAGTCTGGAAGCAGGGATGGAGTCGTTATTGTGCCCACCGAAGTGGATTTGTGCTTACGATCAGCGAAAAAAACCACACACTGGGCTGGTGTTCTTCATGGCACAGTGTCAGGTAACAACAGAACAGAAAACGCCTGGCATGTGAAGTTAAATTATCTTTATCCATTAGGACCCTTCAAAATGATGCACTTAATCAAACCGCTCACATTGGAGATCACATTGGAGAATATTCTGGTCGTGAGATACATACACCATCTGAAGTTTCCTCTGCCAATGGTCAGGTCAAATAAAGACAAACCTTGGACATTCCAGCAAACCAGACAACCGTGAAAAGTGAAAACAGCTGCCCCTTAAGTATAGTACCCGTTTCTCAGCTGTGATATCTGCTCTATACCTAGATAAAGTCCACGGTTCCCACGGTCTGGAGATTTGACGGAGGGCCCCAATTCAAACAAGCCAAAGGGAGGGGTGCCCTGAATGCTGCTCCTCTCCCGGCCCAGCCGAGCATGCGGTCAAGAGAAATTGAACAGCCGTCAGAGCGTGGGACAGCGGAAGGATAGTGTTCTTTTAGACTGCAATTAAGCGATAATGGAATGGACAAATCTGGAGATGCTGAGACTCACCAGGAGTTAACAAGGTGCGAGTACCAGTATAACGAGAGCTCCCTCAGCGATGGATAAAGGCATAAACCAAGACATGGAATGAAGTCAGGTTGGACAGTTATTTTCATGTTACTCAAAGCAAGCTGCAGACACGAGCCTGAGAGCAAGTTAATATTTAACTGATTATTAATGATAACCAGGTTAAAACAGATAAAAATAATACTATCAACATAAGTAGTACAGAAATATGACAAATTCCACATCTTAACACATCCATAGTGTTACCACAGTAACAGAAATCACCCTCAAATCAGTTATCTGAACATAAAAAGATCAACAATGGTCAGGAAAGCTACAATAAAGTAACACAATTAGGTCATACAGAACATGTTTTCATGCACATCTTTGGTAGTCAAAGAAAAACACCAATGTAACAGCAGCAATAAAGTTTCAAGTACCTCAAAACATCACAATAAACGATGACACTGCTTCAAGCATACCGGCGTTGGCCTTGGGCTTCTGTCCGCTAGTGAGGGGTCCCCAGGTCAGGCACCCAATCAGAGCCCTGATGGAACACCGTGCACGATGCTATGGTGAATACGATGGCACCGGGTACAGAATTCTCATGCATTCTCAAGTTCCTGTCTCAAGCAACAGGCTGAGTATCCAACAATAAAGTGGGCGTTTTTAGACATTTTAACATGTTGCTTTTTTAAAATTATTGACAGGAAGATGACTGAATGGAAAGGAGACTTCTAGAAAGCAGAACTAGACGGTTTTAAAAAAATCAGAGAAAACTAACACTACGTAAATACAAAGATTTATTTAAAGAATAAAAAACTAAACATATATTCCTTTCCTGGAATATATCATCTCTCTTATAAAGTCAATCTGATTGTAAGAGCATTTTTCATATCACCTCAAATTATACCAGTACTTGATCAAAACTTTACATTGAAAACTTAGTTGTTGAAAATATTTGGAAAAACAATTCTTGCTGGGACAGATATAGCTTCATCCTAAAACTGAGCTTAATAAACACAGAGTGTAACATCCAAGAGTTCTCTGTACCAACTGCTTTTATTGCCAATACCACTATTTACAAGAAGGGTCCCAACCCAAGAGAGTGAGCATCAGGTGAGTAAATGCTAATTATTTCACAAAACATCTGCCTTTTCCACAATGACTTATTTCCAACTCTACATTTGCCTAGTGTTCATCGAAAATGTTTTCAAGAATACCCCCAAATTAATGTCCGTTTACTCCAATGCCACACAATTATTTATCTGGGATGCTCATTTTAAGATAACTCTGTTTGTCTTCCTGAAAATTTTTTGAAAATAAAATCTGAATATCCCATACAAAATGGATATGTGGCAAACTGGTTTACCTACTTATGCCATAAACAGTTACGCAGATCTTCCATAAACAATTAAGGACCATGAAATATGTCACATTGTGTTTATGCTTCGGTGTCATTTGCTGATGTGTAACGTGTCCATGGGAAGGCTGTCATTCTATTCATTACAATGCAGCAGCTAGGTTACAGCAAATATTTATTTCCATTTTGTGCTCCATTTTTGTTTGACACCACCTTTACGTAAAAACTCTCCGCTTGTCTCAGACTATACACAACTGTCTCGTAAAAGTTCGCTTGTAAATATAATAACAGAAAATGAAATACTTCGCTCGTCCCGCTGCTACACGAAGCTCCACTATCATAATACAAGACATATGTAAGAAAAGCTTTATTCGGTTCAAGTTACCGCTATCGTGCAGCTTTTTCTTAAATACAACTAAAACTAAAACAATACCAATACAGGATTAAATTACAGGGAACCTAATTAAATTGTTATTGTATGAAGGTATTTTACGATTTTGGCCTCTAGGACATAAGCAGTTTTGCTGAAGTCAAAGGTAACAGGCAAACACAAAGCGTTATTACACCAGAGCGGCAATTAATTTCACTGCTTCACTTCCCTACAAGTAGTATTTCACAAAAAAATAGAAAACTTTCCCAATAAGGCGTGTACTTGCGTTGACTTAAAACTGTTCAAGTTATAAATCTCTCATCACTTAATGCGTAGTTGAAGCAGTCAACGGGAATCCGTAGGATACCGTCCGCTGATATGTGCCAAAAAAGAAAATTAGGCCGCTGTCAAACTTTAACAAAGATGTCCAGCGAATGCCTCCGATAACCAACCGTGACAGCTTAAACTGCCTGCCTGGTGACAGCTGTCAGGTACGTTATAATTCAGCACTTCGCTGCCAAACTCAATCGGACACCATACTACCTTCGAATAAAGTTACCCGCTTGGCGCATTTATCGTGTCCAGTAAAACGGTTAAAACACAGACACAGTGGCTTGGCTAGCTACCCCACCTAACGACCCGTGCAAGCGCCCGGCGCCCCTGCCCATCGGACCGGGATAGGCCCTGAACCTACTCCCATGTCGGCCGACGTCGCAGCAAGCGAGACCAGCTCCTATGTCACCCGGAACATTTCCAGGGCCGAAACCCGAACGCGATGACAGAGAAGCCGGCCTTTCATTTTTAATGAGGCCCTGGCTCGGGTTTCCGCGAGTGACGACTCCCTTTCCCGTTCCCGGCTAGAGCGGCTTAGCTAGCTGGGAGACTGCCCGGGTTCTCAGGCACAGAGAGGGAGAGTACACAAAGAAATCACCCGGCGTACCTTTAAGTCTTTTTGTGGTTCACTCTCATGGTTCGGATGCAGCGCAGAGTCCCCACAGCCCGACGGCATCGATAGAAAGCGGGGCTATTAAAACTCCTACACTTGTGCTCATGTAAATGAAGGTTAAAGCAGCCGGCTCTCACTCGCAAAGCCCTCTCCCCTTCCCCGTAGGAGTCTCGGTTCACTTTTACCCAGCATGCAACGGCGCTCTCGTCACTTCCGGTCGGCTAGGACTGTTGTTTACTTCTCCAGGGCGACGGTGTCAACGGGGCACTTCCGGGATCAGTTTTGCTGAGGCGTTCCTTAAGTGAGGCGTTCAACTTTGTCGTCTTTCTGCCACCGGCAGTCACTTAGTGTGGTATATATTTATAATACATATACAACGACGTCGACTTCTTGCTGACCACTTTCTGTGCTATATATTTGTGGAGCTTCACTGTTGCTAATTAAGACTGTTCTTTTCACACTGCAACTTAAATCTGAGAAAGGTTCTGTGCTGCTACATACATATTTACGCATCAGTCTTTTTTTTTGGGGGGGTTCCTCATTTAGTATTTTTCGATGTCGGATAATGATATAGGCATTTCGTCAATTTACTAAACATCTCTGCAGACCCCCTTGTGCCTGGGATAGAATTCAGGTCCCCGTAATCAAGATAAGCTTTTAGACGACAGATATTGATGGATTGGAACAGAAATATTAGATTATTGAGATATTATGTAATATTAGTTTTGTGGAAAAGGTGCAATAATCCGTTAGAGGTATTAGCTTCTGAAGGGAGTGAATCATAGGCCTGAAGTAAATTAAGAACAGGATCATTAGTTCTGGCTAGTGATGTGGGAGGTAATTGCCATAGTAGCAGTAACACAGATGACACTATACATTCCTGTTAACACATCCCTCCCACTTGTATTGTCATTAATACACAAAAAAGTGAGTTGTTTTGTTTCAGATATAATGACCTCTTTGGTTACTTGGGAGCTGGAGTCCTCTTTTGAAAAAAAATGTGGAAGCTGCAGTTTTTTTTACAGGGCTGTTATAGACAAGTTTAATAACGATGGAAAATTCCGATGTATCTTTGTATTCCATCCATGCATCCATCCCATTTTCTGCCGCTCATCCAGGTCTCGGGGGCAGCAGTCTAGGCAGGGATGCCCAAACCTCCCTCTCATCAGCCACCTCCTCCAGCTCCACCAGGGAAATATCAAGGCGTTCTCAGGACAGCTGAGAGACGTAACCTCTCCAGTGTATCCTGGGTCTGTTCCGGGGCCTCCTCCCGATTGGACATGCCTGAAACACTTCACCAGAGAGGCATCCTAGCCTGAACCACCTCAGCTGGCTCCTTGCGATGTGGAGGAACAGCGGATCTACTTTGAGCCCCTCCTTAATGTCAGCTCCTCACCCAATCTCTAAGGCTGAGCCCAGGCACTCTGAAGGAAACTCATTTACATCATTACATTCCAGATGAGTGGAAAATTACAGATGTTTCTATACATTTTCTATACATTTTGTGTTACATGTCAGTCTTAGTATTTTCCTTGATTGTTAGGTTTTTGCTTCTTGAATCTGTGCTCTGTTTTTTTCAGGTCTCCTTGTTTGATTTGTCTGTACCCAACTTCTTCACCTTGTACCTCAGAATTACATTATGATCCATACCAAGTACAATAAATTCCTTTCCTGCAATGACAGTCATACCTCCATTTGTAACTATGCTTCTTCTAGCAGTCTATTGTATCCTTCTGTTAATTACAGAAATCATCCTCAGCAAGACATGTACCCTGAAATGTGTTGCGATCTGTTTACAGTCCAGGGGCGCTGCTTGAGATTTTGGGCCCCATGCAAACATATCATATTGCCCCCCAACCCAAACCAATCCAATTATGTTCCAACTTTTTAGGGCCTCTTCACACCCCTGTACTGTTGGACCTCATATTAGCTTGATGATAGTCTTTATTTGGCTGCTTCAGTTAGTTCTTAGACTGTTCATCGTCCTCTAACTGCTGGGGCGCCAGTAGATATTTTTCTTCTATGTATGTAAATGTATTGTAAAAATTTCATAGGTCCAATATGCAATGCAGCATTTTTTGTTTATTTGTGCTGCACATATAAGACAGTCCTGTACTTTACCAGATATCTCACAGTTTTTGTGTGCTGTATCCAGTTGCTCCTGGATATTCCAGTCAGTCCGAATTTCCAGCAAACACTGCACCTCTGCCCTAGACCAAAATGACCCCACCCTGTTTGTTAAATGTTTGTCGTTACGTGGTCTGTACAGCCTATCCGATCCTTTCCGTCCAGGTCCACTTTACGTATATGTGCACTTGGGTGTGCAAGTTGCATCATTGACGTCACGTCTGTGTTCCATGCTCGGGCGAGGTTAGCGATCACAGGAGATGTGAACCATGCCCAAGCCCATCTCTTCAAGCAGGTCCGGGCACGATCCAATGTACTGTGGGTCAAACGTGCTTGGGCACGGTACGGATGACCTCGTGCGAGTACACCCTATGATGCACCTGTAGAAATCGGTGGGGATGTGAAGGGGCATGTCATACTTAATTAGGTTTGCACAAGAAGGAGAGCCTCTTGAGCACGGACTTGGCTACTGTGCTCGAGTAGAAGGACCAGAAAAGATCATCGATGTGCACAGAGGAACCTACAGCTTCTGATTCTTTCCACTTCAACTTCATCAATGTATATGAGGGCCTGCAAATCCCCATGCAACTTTCTGAAGTCCACAATCATCTTCTTCATTTTGATGTTGTTGAGGCAAAGATTATCGAGGCACCACTGTGAATAGGCACCAGTCTCCTCTCTGCAGGCTTTCTCGTTGCCATTGGTGATGAGGCCCAGGATGGTTGTACCATCAGAAAATTTAACAGCAACATTAGAGCTATGCATGGCAGTACCGTCATGTGTGGCCAGAAATGATTGAGATCCAGAGCTGTGATCTATGAAGAACATCCTCTCATAGGTATCGCTACTGCTGCGTTGCAGCAGTGTGCATGGTCATAGTAACGGCATCATCTCTGGATCGGTTAAGCAGTAAGCGAATTGGAAGAGGTCCAAGTTAGAAGAAAGAGAAGAGGAGATGTGTGAATTGACTAATCGTTCAAGGAACATCATGCCCACAGACGTCAGTGCCACATGTCAGTAATCATTCAGCTCTCTCGAATGCATGGCTTTCTAGAAAAAAGGGTTGATCACTGACTAAGTCAGGGAGAGGTTGAAGGTGTCAGAGCAGGACCGCGCTAGCTGGACAGTGCATTCTCTGAGGACGCAGCCTTGTGTCCCACCGGAGCCTGGTATCTAATTCTGACTCTTAAAGGCTCTGCTCACCTCTGGCTCTGTTAGGATGAGTGAGGAACTGTTTTGTATTACTGTATTAATATTTTACAATTTTGGGATCTGGGATAGATGTGTTGGAAGAAGATTAAGCATTCTGACAGGGGCACATCCCAACTCGATGATTTAAGACTGCATTGATGAGGGAATGTAGCAATTTTGTCAAGACCCATATCATGAAGAGATTCTATCCTTTACTAATCCCAGAAGCCGGGTTTGAAACACTTTTAAATCGATTTCGTTATCATTTTGTGAGCCCTTCTTACCTCCCAACAAACCGTCCTTTGCTGCAATGCAGATCATATGTGGTATTTTATTTTACTCCTAACTGCAGGAAACATAAACCAGCAGTACAATTTATCGCACCCTAAGATAAGAAGAGGAAAAAAATTCCCAAGGCTTCAAGATGATAAACTGGGTGACTTCAAAACTAGAAACTCCTCCTCAGCGGAGAGCTTTCCATTGGTGTCTTTGACTTTAAGTTATATTAGTGTTAATTGTTATTCAGAAAATGGAAAAAAAACAGAGAATAGAGCAGCAGAGATCAATATCTTCCAACTTATTGCATAGATACAGCATTGTGTGCAGCATTGTGTGAGCGGATGTTATGGCAGTCTGAGTGATAGGTAAAGCCAAACTTTCATTTTTAAACATCAGTACTGTATATAAGCAGTACTTATATGACTTACCTATTAAAAAATATTCCACTGCACAGACAAAAAATTTAGATACAGCCTGTAGATATTTGCTGTTCTGAGTATTTAGCAGCAAAATACAGTTTTTAAGTATCTGACAAAACCTGAAAGGGCGACTCATATTACTTGTTAAGCCATTTAAACTGGCTTAGCCATTTTGAACATTGTTCTGTGTTTACCCTTGACGTATAACAGAGCTCAGTTTACAGCCAACACAGGAAATGTACTTTAATGTGTTAATCGGCTTCACACTTCCGGATACCAGAAGATGTCACTGGAAAAGTATAGAAATTTTAAATAATAATGTGAACGGCGTTATCGCCGATGCTTAAACGCACACTGACAAATAGAATATCTGCACTTTATTAAGCGGATATGTTAAATTAAAAACAAAGCAAAAAGAGCAGGGAAATAGCACCTTTAGAAACAATTACAGAATACGGGCGGGGAGTGTCCATTACAAACAGCCTTTTGCCTAACACTGCCGTATAATTCCATTAAATAAAATGGCTGGCTGATACAGCAACAGATTGCTAGAATTACAATAAACACAATAAAATAGGGGACAACTTTGGTTAAATATGTAAATTTATCCCATGACCTTCTTTTATCTACTACCTCTATTTGATTGAACGCCTTATACAAAAGATATAGTATATATATATATTTTTACCTATATTCTTTAAAATATTATTATCTTAATGAATACTAAACAGTTCAGACATTCTCATTTAAAAGAGTGGTAAAGAATTCCATTGTCAGTTCCAGATTCGAAGGTGGTGCTCAATCTCTGTTCACATTATATGTACTACACAAAATAGTAATTATCAGCTCATATTCACATAGCAACAGGCCTCAAAATTTATAGAGAAAAATGTGATTGTGCATACAAATACTGCTGTACAAATGCAACGCAGTGAGTGAAGTATACAAAGGGCAATAATATACCATTAGGGGTTCAACTATGCCCTTTTTGTGCTAAATATCAAATCACGTTAGAAGAAGCTGGTTTTGAGCATGTGTCAAATACATTATACTAAAAAAAATCCTTGTTAATCTAAAGTACAGTGCATATCTATAGGTCAAAATAATTATGTTCAGACAACAGAAAGCATTGTTTTAATTTAACCGCGAAAAGCACTGATGTTACATTCACAATATTCAGACCAGGGGGGTGTTCCACAAAGCTTTAGTGATTTCTGGCTTAGCCAGATAACTTGTTGGATTTAAGGTAGTCTGAGCTAGATGGACTTCATCTTTGTTCGCTTACATTTAGCACAGACTACCTTAAATCCTAAGCAAGAAATCCTGCTTTGTGAAATAGGCCTGAGGAGTCCACACTTCTTTACAATCAAAAGGAGGGGTGACATTCATATTGAACCAAACAGTCATTGTCACATCACTGCAGTATTTCACTTGGGTAGAAGAAAACAAAACATATATTTGCTTTTTCCACTTGAAATATTCAAGGAAATAATGATTAGATTACTGGAGTGAGTGATATTGCATAAATATCATACCATAACAATTTTGTTAGTTACACTGAGACTTATGAATTTCCCGCCAAATTCAACTTTATCACGCTTACGCAGACCTGCATGTCAGGTACCATAAAAGAAACAAATCTAAATGTCCTGACTGATATTTGCCAACCCTAAACCTTAAAATCAATCCTTCAATTTGCATTTTTCAAGTCACAGTACTGTTGAAAATGATCATAAGTGTTGATATTCATTGCCACCTCACCCACCCCAAAGTGATATTTATATAAGATCACACAACACTGTTGGGTAAAATAAAAAATGACCCACGATCACATTTAGCTGTTCTTGATTTAGCAAATAATCAAGAAAAAAAAATCATAATGTTTAATGAAGCTGTGGAAGACTATAGTATATTTTGGTCACTAACTTGGCAGCTCAAGAAAAAATAAATAAATTAAATAATGACCTAACATCAACCTGGTTAGCATATAATGTAGCCGGCTAGCCAGACTGGTATAAAACTAAACCGCTGCCATGCTATATTCTTTGCACAAACACACAATTCAAACTTCTAGCTTTATTAAAATACACAGAACCCCATTAGATAAAAGGTACAATTTATCCTGATATTAATACGGTGTAGCTAACAGACAGTGATGAATTACGCATAGTACAAAATGCACCAGTGATGAAAGACGCCCACCCATAGACGTTACGGTGAGACAACGACTGATAATAATGCTGAATATCATTTATGTACTATTTGGTATACTCAGTCACAATTTAAAAAGTACCAAAAAGGCTTGTAGTTCTCTGAAATGCAGTTGTGCTATTGGCTGATTTGCTGTTGATATTGATATTTTTTGCACTGGGATCAGCCAGACTGAGGGCCAGCATAATGACGTTTATCACATTCCACTTAATGTCTACAGGCAAATGTTTCCCAGTCCGGCCCACGTTTTTGCTCCCTCCTAGCTCCCTGTCAGACAGTCCACGTTTTTCACCCGAGAGCTGGGAGGGAGCAAAAACATGGAGCGTCTGTGGGTGCCCCAGGATCGGATTGGGAAACACTGCTACAAGTGAATCAGACACTCCCCCAACTGTCTTTGTGAGATTAGGCCAACCCCAGGCCCGTTACAAGATGGGTAAACTAGTGTGTCTAACTTGCCTATAGTTTCTGATTGTGTGTGACTATGTATGTGTCATACAGTGGATTGACAAACTGTTCAGGATGTTCCCCTGCATTCCTGTGCTCCCAACCCCAAACCATTCTCCGAGCTCCAATCCACTACAAAATCAACACTTCCCACTCTCATCCTTGCACCCTGAGCCTAAACCAGAATGACAAACTGCTAAGATACCCTTAAGGAGTTTAGTTTTCCCATAATGCCTTGCTTGCACCTCTGCAGATCTGCAGGGCTATCTGATCCACTGGTGATAAAGCGTCCAGTTCGGCCAAACAAAAGAGTCAGCAAGTTATTAAAGGGGCACAAACATCAGTGCTCCATTTCATTAGGAGGCCCTTAGCTCTATATGCTGAATAGAAACAGGAGACCCCTTTAAAACAGGGTTTATTGCTTACAGTTACTTCCATGAAGGCAGAGATTCCCAAATCTGCCTTTCTAGATGAATGCATGCAGAGAAAATGACATGTCATTGACTCCTTATGTAAAACAATTATGTTTTTATGTGTATCCACACAAATGGAATCTTCTAAAAAGTGTACAAAATGATCCAAGTGGAAATGGACACTGGACCGCTCTCTGCATCAGAAGGGTGACCTCAATTCAATTCAATTCAATTCAATATAGCACCTTTCACAACCCACGGTGCTTGACATAGGGTAGTACAGAAAGAAAGAATAAGAGCCAGAAGACAACAGAGGAGAGGAACCAAAAACTCCCAAGTATGGAGAAAACACAAATCACTGGGGGTCCAAGGTGAGGATGCCCAACCCCCCCCCCCCAGGCAGGCTAACACTATAAAAACAGAAAGAATAGGCCTGTTTAACCTGACCCTGAACGTGGCTGCGTGCGGCAGGAGACTCACTGCAGCCCTCCTGGCCCCTCTGTGCAGCAGGCTGCTGCACAGTCATGTGAAACTGCACAGTCATGTGAAACCGCACATGCAGAGACACACAGGCCAAACAGAGGAAACAAAACCAAATCAATGTGAGGAAGAGAGCAATGGGAGGAAGGGTTTCTGTAGATCGTCACCTTATCTGAACACGTCAAAAACTGGCAAAGTCACATTTCTCACTGAGCACCTCATGTCGGGGTGGGGGGGGGGGGGTTTCTGAGGAACTGGTACGTCACGGAAGGTGCCGGAATGTGCCACACCTGGGACACCAGCGATCACCGAAACATTAACCTGTCTGGGGCATTTCGCTCGAATGTGCACATGCAAGTTGATGCAGATCTCCCGACAAGGCATGTTTCCTGTCGTGTGAGCAACATTGGTTCACTTCCTGGTACAAAGGGAACGTCAAAACGTTACATCATGGCAGGGAATCAACACAAGGCCTGCTCATGAGGGACATGACCTTTGTCCCGTGTCCTGTGACATCTGTATATGCAGATTCTCCAGAAATGGGTAAACATGGACCCTTGTGAGATCCGCAACCTTAGCCAGAGGACGGCGGAGATTAGACACAGAGAGAGGCTAGGGACATGAAAAAACTCATACACTGCACTCTTCCGCTTGTACATAACAATGGTAAAGGAATGAGAGAATCCTCAAAGTACAAAAAAGGCAGAAATGAGACATCCTACACCCGCGCAACAGCAAAGCGTCTCACCGCAGATGCACAAAGACACCCAAGGAGTAGTTCAAATGAAGGCGCGCGCCGACTTGTTAGCCACTACGCCTACGGGGAGATGGAGGTATGTAAAGTCTGGAGGGAGATCAGTACCTTCAGGTGACTTCAATACAGATACAGAGCAAGCAGTTGGAATATTCTAGTAACTTCCTCAAACGTATCTATGCTTGTCTATTCTGTACGGAGAGCGCACAGCAGTCAATGCTGACTGTCTTTAAGGTGTATCTGGTGAGCTATCGGACAGCTTAGATGCTAAAGGTGCGGCATCGGATCTCCCGGCATTCTGATAGGCGCGTCCCCTTGGGAGGAGCTCGTGGCATGGATGCCAACATGTGGGAGGGCAGAGTGGGCAAGAAGGATCAGGGAAAATGGACCAAAATGAAAGGTAGACTCAGCAATGTGGCACGCTGCCATTAGTGCATCATAAGTCGCCTTAATTTAGGACATACATCACCATTATACACAAGTGCCATTTGGTGAGACCTCACTAAAGGGTCAGAAATCCACTACTACTCTGCAAAACGGACGGCGCAGCGCCTTCTGTAAGTGATTTCTGAGCATTCTGTAATGGTGTATTGAAATGTAATGTAAATATACCAGCGTTACATTCAGAATAATTAATTAGCGAGGGAACAAGAATATATATAGTATTAAACAAACCGCCAAGTCAAAACAGATGCACTAGGTTCGTGTGTAGTATGGCCATACTACAGTCCTACCAAAGGTATTACATTCACCAACTTGTACATGTGATGTTATGAGTAGTGCAGGTAATTATCTACAAAAAAATCATGATGTAAACAAACAACCAACAAACACTTAAGAGACTCCTCACCTACAACATGCTGGTTCGCCTTAAGATTTCACAATATAATTGCAATGTCAACCTAGAGCTGGGTTCCGCGTTTCCAGTTTGGGGGGCCAGTTTGCAACATAGCTCACAGATTTCCGCACTCAGACACGCTGACTAAACATGGTAATTATCTGATTAAGATGTGGAGCAGGGAAATCTGCAAAATGTGATGGATTCTGGCTCTCCAAGGCCAGAATTGGGAATCCCTGACCTACAGCTTTCTTTCCCTTGATTATACGCAAAGGTGCTGATATTGTTCATGGGAAAACACCAATCAGTCTTTAAAATGTCATGGAAAAGGTTCGACCCGTACCACAAATTCAGAGTTACGACCGTCAAATCTCTTGCTAATTTGCAAATACATCTGTGATAAATATGTAACTACTGACATTCATTCCTGAGATTTAATGTGTGTTTATTTACTTTACTCAGAGTTCAATATAAATTTAATGTTATATTGTGACATTCTTGACCAAGAAAGCGAAAGCAAATAAAAAAAACAGGTTTGTCTCTCAAACAACACACACACTGTCACCCCCCCACACACACTGACATGCACACCCTAACCCCCCCGCCCCCCCACACTGACATGCACACCCTAACCCCCCCACACAGCACGACCAGGTAAGTGGGGACCCACATGCAAACTGGAAGACGGCTTGTCATGGTGTGTGTGCTGATTTCAGACTAAATATGGGGGGCTTCGTATCTGGGAACTCGTGCGTAGAAACGCCTGTGCTCCCCAAATCATTCAGACGGACGGGGGCCGCAGGTACGACGCGGATTCGTGCGATCACCTCGGCGAGGCGTGTCCACGGCATGTGGGGGCGTGGCCAAGGCATGTGGGGGCGTGGCCAAGGCGGGGCTACCCCAGCTTGGTGATCTGAAGGCTTCCGGTGATCCGAATGGTGTCGATAGCCCGCAGCGACGCCACCCGGTGGTAAAAGTCAAAGAGCTGGTGGCCGTCGACGAATATCCGGAATCGCTGGTGCTCGCAATGGATCTCAATCTGCGTGGATTAAAAAACGGGGTGGTGAGAGGTGGCGGGGGGCAAATATACCACACAATAAACGGCCCCTGGTGACTGTTTACTAGTCAAACCGGTGGGCTGTTAAAAGCAAAGGGAGGGAGGAACAAGGTCAGACTGCAGGCCATCTTCTAGCTATGGACATTGATTGATAACCTGAAGGCGATTGGTTCCAGTCCCAGAGGGGTGGGGCTACAGCACAATAATTCACCTGAATTTTTTTCAGTAAAGTCCTTAGATAAAATTATATGATAAACAGGACCCCCCCGCCCACACACACTTCCTCCCACAATCCCTGCCTTTTCATGATAGATGAAATATGCCCCCCCCTCCCCCAGGTACCCGAAAGGGCTGGTCCTCGATGAAGGGGAAGTACGGGATGGGCTTCTCTGGCTCCTCCCACTCCCCAGACACGCAGGCCTTGCGCAGGAACTGCCGGTCCACGAAGCGGGCGCAGAGCTCCAGCGCCACGTCGGGGGGGGGGTCCTCCTCCGTGCCGCGGCCGCACGTCAGGCTGATGTCGAAGCTGCACAGACCGAAGGCGCTATCTTTAGAGCCAGCGGGCCGGGCTGGGGGAGGGCCCACGAGCCGGACATCCAAAGAGGAAACTCCACTAGTGCCGATAAGAGTCCATACACCCCCACAGCAAATATACCACACAATAAACGGCTATTTATGCGCCTGGTATTTCACTTCCACATATCAGAAGTGTGTTTTGCATTTGATTGCCACTGGGAAAACCACCTAAAGTAACTTTTATGTAAAGAGCTATAGCAAATCGAATTTAATTCACTGGATGACGCAGCTTAATAGAAAATCATTTGGCAAGTATCTGAGAACCTTTAGCCCACTATATACCATGGTGATATGGAAGGTCAACAGTACCGAAGCACTTTTTAAGCAAGGCGTTGAACTGCTAAGGCAGAGAGAGTGGAGTTTCGTTCAGAACCATACAATTAGGGTGGACAATGGCCTCTCACTGTCCCCCCCATGCATGTGCAGTGAAAGTGCAGCCGATTTGACATACCAGTTTCTCAGGAATTAATGCGAGTAAACCGTCTGTCAGCTGAAGCAGTGGCTGAGACCTTGATCAGCCTCTGACCATCAGTGCCAAATGCTGTCACTAGGTCTGTTTTACTTTTACAGAGTTTTCAGTAACACGTACCAGTCCACCCTTGTCGAGTGCACTCTACCAGACAATGCTATATATGCTGCACACAGGAATAACTAACTTTATGTAGAAACATGTATTTTCATGATGGAAAATTCTGCCTGATAAATAAATAAACAACCAAGGAAAATGTCTTCTAGCTGCATTTAAACTATCGACATGAGTTATATAGTACATTAAATATTTAAAAGGACTTTTGAATGAAAACGTTTTCTATTTTTCACTGGGTGAATGTTGACCTGCACTTGGAGTTCGGTGGAATTACCTTTTAGGCTCTGCATCTACTATGCCCATGACAATGATCTTCTTTCCTGGTCTCATCCCACCTTTGATGCGGCCGCTGAAAGGAACTGCCTGGTTGAGAGCAGGATAACGTTCTTGAAGTGGTGTCCATAACACAACATGGAGCTATAGCCTAGACCAGGGGTCTCCAACTCCGGTCCTGGAGAGCTACTATCCAGTAGGGTTTCTGTCCCACTTGGCTTCTGATGAGCCACACCTGCTCCTGGTATTTACCTGAGAACAGGTGTGGCTCATCAGAAGCCGGGTATGATAGAAAACCTACTGGACGGTAGCTCTCCTGGACCGGGGTTGGAGACCCCTGGCCTAGAGCCTGTCCCAGACGGGGTGGGGGGGTACACGCCGGCCAGGAGGCCACTTCATGACAGGGCACACTCCATAGGGAATTTAGAGATACCAATTAGCCTAACTGCATGACTGTGGTCGGAAATCTGAGACGGCAGAGAAAACCCACATGATCAGGGAGCACAACTCAGAGCAAAAGCAGGATTCGAACCCATAACCCTCAGTGCCGCCTTCACATCCATCAACAATTACTACACATATGGGTGACAAAAATACAAATAAAATGCATTACCAGTAATCGTATATCTTCTTTCTCAGGTGAGATCAGTGCAGGCTTTTCTAAGGAATTGCTCAAAGGCCCATCTTCGATTTTCTTTAATTAAGCAAGAAAAGAAATGAGTTTCTTCAACATCACCCCACAAACGCTTAACTATTTAAGGAATACAACACCCACATTCCACTAATGTATATTAATTGCTCGGTAACTGCTGGCGCATTGAATGCTATGCATTTTTTATGAGATCGGTACACCTTTAAGGCAAAAAAGCAAGTGTCCAGACGTCCCTCATATTTAGGATTGCAGACAAGCTGCGATCTTGCGCTTTGGTGCTAAAAGTAACCGTAACAATCTTATATTCGCGTAAAAAGCCGCATGATCCGAGCAAAAAGAGACGTATTTTTCCAGAGCACCTATTTATAGGTACGTACTTTCAGTCCGCCCAAGGTGGACATGCAGCACGTATTCAAACGCAGGTATTTACACATAGATCTCACTGTCGCTTTCATTACCCATATTTGCCCAGTCACAGAAACGATACAGGTATAGGGGCAGCATAAAGCGTCACATGGGGGGCATGTATGAAGGGGAAAAAATCTTATAAATTGATTTATGTAAGAATAAACATCAGACTTTAAAGTGTAATTAAATATACTCACAGTAGCGTCATTTTCCGTCCCTGACACCGCCATCTTGCACGCGAAATAGCATAGGACAAACAAATTGATCGACTGGGTGAGTGATAGCCTCGAGCGTGTGAGGGGCGGCGATCGAGGCTCCGAGCGGCAGACGGTGCGAGCGCTTTAGGAGGCGGCCGCAGGCGATGGGAACCGGCGCCCACTGCCTATCCTCACCCTGACATATCGGGATGAACGCTGACGTCGGCTGAACGGAGGCTTAATCCCAGACAGGACTTAAACCGCAATTATCTACTTTTTTTCTTACTCCCTCCTTCCTGAAGGACCAGAGGCAATAAACGTGCAATGGAAAAAGAGATCCACTACAGCTGCATTGCAACAGTGTCAAGAAACAAGAATTAACTCAATAATATTGCAAAATATTACATATCTGTAAAGAAAGAAACTTCACTATTTCCAAGTTGTATTTTGCTGGTTATCAATATGCTTATGATCAAACCGGTTTGTATAAATTCAATACCGGTCTACCGCATTTGCAGTAAATTGCTTGATGTATTTTAAGGGAATACCCCCGAAATTCATCTACAGGGCGCCGTTCTGTGGTTATCTGGGGCATTGCAGGAAATAGCTATGATGTGCAAGGACCGCGAGGAATTCCATTGGAAAAAAAATAAATTTTCGCATTTATGTTCCCGAAAAAAATCGGTAGGAAACAATGCAATACTGGTTTGTTTTTCGCAATTCCCCGACTTCTATACATCTCCGCAAGCATTCACGCTTTCTTTCCCCCACCTGCTCTCTGTGGCCGTGCTCAGTGCTGACCTCATTTGGTAAGAGAGCAAACTCACATTTTGTAGAACTGAGAAGGACTTAAACGCGCTCATCCCCATATATAATAATATGGTATTTTCACGTACGCCAGCATAATTTAAAGTTGTTAGAATATATTTCAATCATTTATCCAACTGTAAAAAATGTGCCTATTATTGTGGGGAAGACGAGCGTTAGTGTGACATGGCTTATATAACAAGAACAAGAATAACAAGAAAGTGACTTTACATAGTTTTAAAGTACTAGTCGATGCATAGTTGATAGTAATGATATGAGACACTTTTACGCAAAGAAAACTGCAGTGTTGCATAGCTTCTTATAAAATCTTCTGTCATTAGTAATATTCATAAAATGTCCGCTTGTACGCTTATTTCACCGATGTGCAACAGGACTGAAGGCGACTGCGAGGATCACCGAAGCTGACGGTCTCGGTTTAAAGGACCAGAGTGTGCTCGTTAAATAGTCCCAGTCAGTCATCACCTGCAGAAGAAAACTGACCAGGTAATAAACCATTAGTTTTTTCCCCAAATATATCCAAGACCATTTAATACATCCAGAGACGAGATAAAAGCTCGTGGTAGGAATGACCTAGATACCACATTAGCTTAAGCCTGCCAAGATTGAGACGCCACGCTGAGAAGGATGCCGAGCTGTTGCTAGGATACCAGCATTTTGGGGTCACATAAGAAATTCTCCCCATTTTCTTTGTTCTCCAGAATGGTGGCTTCATTCAGACACATGACTCAACACACCATATCTACACGAAAAGCTGTATGTGTATGATTTGTACTTTATTCATTAGTTTGATTAGATTTAAATAATATGGTAATATTATGAAGCATAGATCATTTATGATAACATAGTCCTACTGTGCATTGAACTGGGTTTCACAATAATAGAGCTGTTCACGTGATCACTGTCCCCAGTTTCAATAGAGCCCTGTCCTCCTCCAATATGTTTATTTATAGTTCTATAAAGCACACATAATGAATTTAATTCAGATCTTGTCCAGGTCTGGAAAATCATAGTTCTGTCCATCATACTCACCATGGCGTGAGGGAGCTGGGCTTGAATGTTTCACTGACACCCGTATATTATGGATGTTTATATTTAAGGGCTGGAAGGAGTAGGATGCCGTCGTATCCATGCATCCAGCCAATATTTAAAGTTCCATGTTGGGAAGAAAGGTCCTAAACGGATGACACAGAATGTTCTGGAAGGAGGGTGGGGGGGATATCTCAGGAGCTCCGTTACTGTGGAGCACGCTGGAGGAAGCTTTGTACTGAGCACTGCACTTTCCCGGCTGGATTCGGGCCTGGCCTGGATAGAGGGTGCCCAACACTCATCCAATTACACGCTCACAATTAACAAAAAGACGTTCACATCTGATACATCAAGGATAATGGCAGCTCTATATATACAAATTCTACATATTACCAAGTTACTGGAGGATGTGTCCCGTTCCAGAGGATAGATAATATTAAGCAGCTGCCAAGTGGTTCATCCCATAGCTTCAGCTCTGCTGTGATTTTGGGTTTTAACATACTCACCTTATAGGACGTCTTGGTTAGCTAGACTTAGCTTGCAGTTGCCATTGTCAACAATGCATGATTCAGATAATAGTTAGGGCCTTTAGCTATAGTGTGTAAAAACAGCAACATGATTGATTCACCTACTGTAGGTATAATCACCTGGCAACGAACGTAGTACTTAATTAAATTTTGTACAATGTTTATCACAGATACTAAATTTAATGTGTTTACAAGAAACACATTAAACGTGGAACATTGGATCAAAAGCGAGAGACAAGAATCATGCTGACAGCCAAAGGCAACAGGGTTACATGTTGAACCACATTGTCGCCCTGTTTTCTGGATGTGTTTTAATTAAAACGTGACAGTACATTTGAACAAATCAAAGTGTTATGCATAACCACAAGGTGGCGCTGTTTAAAATTTGTCACATGGCGTTACATGGTGTTTTACAGCGTTCCAATTTCATATTCAATTATTCTTGGTGTGCTGTACGTTCTAATTATTAATGTAGATTTCTAATTCATGAATTAATTTGCAGATCATTCATGGTCTTTATATTATTTAAAATACTGTGTCTGTTGATATCATTCAAAACGATGTTGTCATGTTTAATACACAGAATAGCCGTTTTCTGAATGTTATTTAGACAAAATTCAACTTATTATGGAATTGTATTATTTGTTTTTGTTCGGGACCTTTAGAAGTGATTGATTGTTGTGTAATTGCATTCTTAGTTTAAATGAAAATAGAGCATTGCATTTGCTTAGTAATACATAAGTAATAACATAAAGTAACTAGAAAATATGTGATTAAAATTATTTTTAGTTTGTGTATTCTAGAAAAATGTAATAATCTACCCAAGAACAAACTTCTTTTGGCTTGTGCTGAGAAAAAAATGAAACAGGATCTCGGTTGTGTCACGCCCCGCTCCGTCCGCTCCTAATGTGTGCCACGCCCACCTCGTTACCTCGTGTTCAGCCCTTATTGTGATCGCCTGTGTCCTATTAAGTCTAGCTTGTCTCTTGTATTTAGTCCTCGTCTGAGTCAGTCTTCCCCAGATTTGTCATTGTATTGTCATGTGCAGTGTCCGTCGATGTTCGTCTGCTCCCAAATAAACCCCGTTTTCCCTGACTACCTGGCTGCTCTCGACTGCTTCCCTGCTCGCCTACCCGCGAGCGTGACAGATTGTACGTTTCTTTTCACGTCTCTTCCAGATCCTTGCAGCGCTCAAACTTCTGCATGGTACCGGCGTTAACGTCACTTGGGGAAGTAACTTCCTGTGTAACCGTGATTCTATGACAGGCACATAGTAATATTAAAAAATATAATATATATAAGTCCACATGCTCGTTTAATATTTCCCCGTCATTTCCAACATGGTTTTGAGCTACAGATGGATTTTAATGTAAGCCTGAAGGTTTTTGGAGTCCTTTTGAAGCGTCCCTTCAACCAACGTCTCCTTTTAAGAAATAAGACGCTCGGCCACCAGGGGGCGCCTGTAGCACATACGTTAATTGCTCAGTGCAGTTAAGGTAACCAGAGAACGTCAGAATTATTTTACATTATTTATTTGGTTGTCCAGGATCACATGGACTGCATTTTATACAGTCTGCGTTATACAGCTGGATATATTCTGACGTTTTTTCGCTTACGTGCTTTGTAGAATACAGAATTATATCAAGCACTGCTGATCCACTAATCGATCTTTAAAAGATGACTGCTATTGTAGCATTAATGATCAGGCTCCGTAGTCCGTTATTTAAAAATATGAGTCGTCATGAATATTAATTATAGCTTTAAAGTAGCTTATCTAAAGTTGTACGTACCTAACTATAATAATCGTTACGTACTACATGTACGTAAATGAATTAACGCAAGTTCCTGTATCGGATGTCCAGTGGTAAAGCCCATTCTTCTTTAATAACAGTTGGGCGTCAGAGGGAATGCGTATGCTGCAGGTGTACTATTGTTTTTGCGTTATTGTTTTGAGTAAACAGGAAAACCTCCATCTGGTTACGTCATCACCCTGCTACGACGTAAAGACGATTATACGTACTTAACGAAATGACGGTAATCGCACAAGTTTTTGGACCTGGAGGACGGGAGCCCTACACAGTTTTTGGTTCACCCTCATTTAACACACCTGATTCAACTCCTTGTGCTAATTACCACAGAGCTCCTGAGCTGAATCATTTATGGTGGAAGGGGGAAAGAACACAGGGAGTTTGAGACCCCTGAACTAGACTTTAAGTTTCACGTGAAAACATCTTTCTAAGAATGTATTGAATGTGAGTTTTTATAGCTAGAACAGTCTAATCTCATGTTTTCTACAACCTCAATTACCTAGAAAGAAACTTTGATATCTGCAAAATTCAGGGCCATGTTAATAGCTACTGCGCTGCAGGGATGGTCCTGTGGCCACCAAGGCCCGTCCATTCAGCGCTGGCACCGAGTGATGCAGCACGTCTGTCAGGTATGTGTGTGCATGGTTAGATATCGGAGGGACTGTACTGTTCAGAGGCAAATAGACTCTTCTTTCTCTTTGTTCATTTGGTTTAAGTAATGCCACAGGTCATTTAAAAACCGATAAAAGAATATATGCAGTTGAGTCTGTAGAGTGATTTTGTGGCCAAGTCAATTGTTATGGGACTGGCCCACCTGATCTTCTGCTGGCCCACTCACACTGTGATCTCTGACTCCACTATTGGTTAATCATATTGCGGATTTACCCAAAAAAGTCAAAAAATGTAATTATTATTACAAATGAAAGGCTAGTTGGTTACTTAACCACTGCAGACTTTATATATTTGGAGAGCCGAAGCCCAATCCATCCAGCCATCAGTGGTACCTCCTACTCCGCCTGTTACTAGGAAACCAAAAGTCCGCTCTGATGATGCTGTAGCCCCCGCCCTTATACAGGGTGATGCAGCTATGGGTGTTTGCTGTGACACCCCCACCCACCCAAGGGCATAGATTTGAGTATGGGGTAAAGCTCCTACCAATATTCTGGGATTATCATGTGCGTTTTGGGGGGGCTGATTTGGTCCCTACTGATGTTGAAACCAAACCTATGCCCTTGCATATGCTACACACACACACACACACACATTTGTTTACATATCTTTGTGGGGACTCTCCATTGATTTCTATATGAAAAACTCTAATCCCAACATGACGACCTTAACCCCTACCCAGCCCTA